GAGGCTGGGAGGGGGTTTAATCCCCCTTTCCCAGCTCAGTGTGTTGGTGCCAGACCCTGCAGTACCAGACTAAGAGGTGGCAGGTGTTGGAAAAGACATGACACAATCATCACATATATGTTCTGGAGATGGAGCTAAGGGAACAGGAGAGGGGCTGCTTGGGCTGCTGTGACCAAAGAAAGCAAAGAGCTGCATTTACAAATGGCAGGAGATCAGCAGACTCCACCCCCTCCCACCTCTGGCAGAGACTGAAGCAAGCAGTTGATGGGGGAGGCTGTGCGATTCCCCTCCGCTCTCCCAGGCCATTGGGGGTGGGGAGGAGAGGCTGGGGAACTGGTCTGATCCCCTGCTACCTGTAAGCACAGAACCAAACACTGCAGGACCAGACTGAGAGGTGGGAGATGTTGGCAAAGGCCTGGCACAGCCATCATGTGTATGTGCTAGAAATGCAGGAACAGGAGAGGGTCACAGACAGCTTGAGCTAGCTTGACCAAAGAAAGCAGAGAACTACATTTATAGTATAAAGCACAACCTGTGAAAGGAGAGAGGCTGGAATACCTAAGGAAAGAGTTTCTGAATATCTGGCTGTAAGGAGACACTCTGCCCTCAGGATTATGTTAGATTTATGCAAGGCTTTCTCCTGTCTTTTTGGTTTATTATATTCCATTTTAAGTTAGACTAAGCTGTGTGTGCTCTCACTATGTTTTACTGGGTTGCATCTTAGCTTAGGTAAAGGTTTATGGTTGTTCTGTTGTGTGCCTGAGGTTGCAAAGTGCTGTCTTCAATATATGCTTGCTTCAGAAAAAGGACTATTCTTGTTCAAGCCTTTATGATTTCAATGCCACTATCTTCCCCGCCCCAGTCTAGCAGCAGCTGCCCCCACCCCTCAAGTGGGGAGTGGGGGGCAGGAGCCTGGCAGGCACTGCCTTCCACAGGCTATCCCCAGCTGGTGCCTGGTCACAGCCCCTCCTTTGGAGCATGGAGGTGGGGAAAGCCTTGGAGTGCTTCTCTCTTCCTTTTAGCAGTTGCTGGCACATGTGCTGTAGTGCCTCCCAGCTTCCGGCTTGAGCCACTGCAGGCATGTGGCTGCATTTCATGAATCCAAAATGAATGTCTTCATTTGCTTATCAATTCAACTTGCGCAGCCTAGACTAACCTGCAAAGACTAAATCAGTTCAACCTCTGGCTTTTTGACTGTCTGTACTTAGCAAGAGGTTTTGAATGCAGTAACATAGTTCTGAAACCATGAGTAGAACAATTTTATGATTAGTTACATAAAATACACACTAAATAAAGCATAGTATATCTGCAGAGAAAATATGAAGCAGTGTGTTATAATTTTCGATAAGGAATATATAAGCTTGCATAAGAGGTTACATTTAAATGTATTCTGTTTTTTGGGAGGAAAGGTGCATACTGTATATGAAAAAAATATATAGTATTTTTTCTGTTTACCTTTTCTTGCTGGGGATTTGATGCATCTTTGGTTTTTGTGGCAATTTACATAGTTTTTTTCCTCCACTTTGGAAATTATTGGGTTATTGAAAAACTTCTGAACTCTTTACTCTCCAAGGTTAGGAATCCAGTCATGGGAGAAAGAAATTATTTGCCTGGAAGTTCTTTTTTTTTTTTTTTTTTTTTTTAAGGTGTCCTATGGCTGGCTCCCCTTATTTAGGAAGTTTAATTAATTTGGCTGGCTACATTTTTTGCCACAGATGAAAGTATAAATTCTAAAAATGCTCCAAGAGAAAGAGATGGTTTAAGGACCAGTGTCATGGAGCTCATTGGAAATTATTCTTCAGGAACTGGGGCTTGCTGGCTTACATGTTGATGGAAAGGACTGAAATGAAAATATATGTAACCACCTTCTACAATGTATTGACTAAATGAGAACAAACAAATAAAATCAATACTAGATTTGCAAAAGTGTTTCTGAAAGGCAGTCATTTAGATGGCAAATGGAAAGTATCTGTTTTGAAGTGCAGAAGAAAAGAAAAGGCACCAGAGGCTAAACTATTCAAATATAACAGATGACATCTGAGGAAAATTGAGGAAGTAATAAAGATGAGTTGTGTCTTGAGGGGACAAAAAAGAAGAATGCTATAAAGAATCTAAGATCAAAGTAAGTGCATATATATTACTGGACAATATAAACATAAAGATGCAAGTGAACAGCTAAAATGACAATATAGGACATCCACTGAAAGTATGACCTACCCAAAACATGATACAGACTGTATATGCCTTCTAGCTCGAGTGCCTGAAATAGAAAATAATTTTGTTCTGCTTGTTCATACAGTTCTAGTGTATGTGAACTACTGCTGAGCATATAATAATTTTTATGTTTACCTACAGTCACTGCCCTACTGGCATCTAACTCATTATCTTTTAAAGTGCTTTGGCATACCTTGGATTTTAAAGCCATAACGCCAAATTCTATTCTTTTCTTCAAGCTCTTACTATATCTTTTCATGCAGGGAAACTGCATCATCAGGATGGAAAGGATATGCATCCATAAAATAAGGTATTTAGCAGACAAGAAGGAAAGGCAGAAAAATTCATTCTGCTTGTCCTTATAAATTCCAGATCAAGTAGTTATTTGAATTGACAGTGGCCACCAGATCTAAAAAGAACTGTATTTCTTTCAACACTTGAAATGTCACATTGAATAGTTTGCATCACATTGAAGACTAATTTTAAAGTATCTGGTGTTCACTTGCAACTTTCATGCTAAGTTCTTTTGACCTTCATCTCATTTTGTGTTCAGTATACCAAAGCCGTACTCCTATTATGCCGAGGCTGCCAATAATTGCTTATTTCTTTATTCATGTATTTATTTTTGAATATATGCGTTTTGTGAGACAATGAATGAAAAGATTGTCACAAAATTGATTTATTCTTAAGATCAAGCCACTCTACTTGCAAAACATACCCAGCAACTTGGTTGATGTGGGGACTGGGGGAAGGAGATCCTAAATTTTATTTCTTATTAAAAATGTTATTGTCCACTGAAAAGCCAACAATGTGCTCTATAATGTTTTAACAAGCAGAATCCATTTTTTCCAGGCATACTGGTCAAATTATAAAGAAATGAAGGGCAATAGAGAAGGTGGCTAATGGATAGTGGAAAACAACCACTCTAGAAACCATTATTCTACTTGCAGAAAACAGTATACACCCCGCCTCCCCTGACCACCGCTGTGCATTGACCAGTGTTAATGTAGCACACAATGCAGACATAGCAGGTGTTTCTACATAATTTGAGAGGGCTTGCCTTGTTAAGGGACTGCATTGAATTTACTGTATTTTTAGATGCATGACTCATGGAATGTAATCTCAGAAAAACTGAGGGTTCATTAATGCAATAATAGTTATTTAAAATTATTTACTTGGGACGATTGTATTGATATCCTTAAAGAGATCTAACGATTGCGAAGACTGGGGGTACATGCAAAGGTTCCTTAGCAACCTAACTAGGGTTAATTTGATCTAAGTGCTGAAACACACATATGTTCAGGGGCAAAAATGGCTGGCCCATTCTAACTTAGTTCACCTGAGGAGGTACACTGTGTAGATCAGGCTAAACTATGCCTGATCTAACCAAACGTTTATACATTCAGAGTGCAGCCCTTGGGCACGGAAAGCCCAGTCACTTGCCCCAGTCCTGTGGCTGTTTTTTCCTATCCTAGCCCCACCTGACAAGGCTATTTTTAGCCTTCTGACCACCCTGTGCCCCCAATCCAGCCAACACTCCCCCATGGACTCACTCACCCCTCCTGATCCCTCCCACCCCTCCTCCCACCTCAATTTACTTAGGGCTCCTGGTACCAGAGAGCATGAGCACAAGTGGGACCTGATCTATGATCACATGGCTTCAAGTAGGCTGCATGATTGTAGTTCAGGTCTCAGCAAGATCTGCATCCATCCTGGGAGTCTGTTTTAAAGACACAGTTTATGACCAATTATCTGGATGATTATAAAACTGGAAGTGAGTTTAATTAGTAGTAAACATATATTCCTGATTTTGAAGAAAGTAAGGATTTATTTGGCTAATACATAGTATAACAAAAATATATTACGTAGGTAAGTACTAAAACATTATAGTAATTTCACAGCTGCAACTCGTGGCCTTAGAATGGCCGAGAAAGTAGAATGACACTGTTGTGCTGGAAACACAGAGAATACCAAGAGGGCTAGAGGTTTTAGGTATATTCTTCCTGGATTCTGTGGTGCTGGGTAGAAAGAGATGAAGTACGAATAAGATACTGCACAATGAATATGAACAAAGGCAGGTATTTGGTTTGTCTTCCTTCACTTTCACCTAATGATAATTCGCAACAATGCTAACCGTTGGTCTAAGATGCTCCTTTTTTTTTCCATTTTCAGTCATGGTTGCTGAAGGACAATATCCCTATTGATATAAAAGCAGGTTCTGGATGAGTTCCCCAGAAAATTATTGTTGCCCAAACTATCACTTCTGAACAAATAATTTTGCTTCAAACCAAATAATTTTGGTTCAAACAAGAATTAACAAAAACAATAAGATCAGTAACCTTGAAGTAATGGAGTAAACTCAAATGCCTATCCTATCTTATTAGTCTGACACACTACATGAGATGAGCCAGAACTACAAACCAATTCTATTTTATTAAACAAAGCAAAGCAAACAAAAAACAAAACAATCTCCCTTCCACAAAACTCGCTCCTTCCCCAGGAAAAAAAAAATAGCCTTACTTCTTGAAAGTAGATAAGTAAGTTAAAGGTTTTCAGTTAGTGAGCCTACAAAGGTCTGTGTCCTGCCATAGCTTTAGTAATACAAAGTGATGATTCAAAAGAGCTTAAAGAAGTTTGTGCAAGAAAGTCTATCCCTTGACAAGAAACCATAAAACAAATATAAGTGAATCAACTAAGTTCAGAGAGTGCTAAGCCATTACATTGGGCCACCCAAACTTAGACTGAACTGAGATGCATACTTTTTAGGAAGTCTATTCAGTTTTATAAATTGCTATCATGCAAGCTCTGAAAACAAAGGTCTTTCTTGTGTGACAGGCTAGCTGGCAGTGACCTAGCCCAGGGGTTTTGAAAGGGCAAAAGATGATTGGAGGACTTGGGATTCCCTTTCCTCACCAATCAGGCACCAGAGACTCACCCCTCATGTCCCCTGATTGGCCCCTTGGGTCACCTGGAGGGGGATAAAAGGGGCAGCGCGGCTGACTCAGGAGAGACCAGCGAGGGACCATGAGGAAGGAGCTTCAAAGAGCTGGCAAGAGTTGAGCCAGCAGGGAGGAAGCAGTTGCCCCAGAAGAGCCTGAAGGAGCAGGACCTGCAGGAAGCAGTTGGACCTTTAGCAGCACGGCATGTGGCCGGCAGGAGACGCTTCCTGCTGGGCTCCAGGATCCCGTACGAGAGGCTATGGCCGGCAGGAGAGGCTTCCTGCTTCAGTAAGGATCTGAGCAGCGACCTGAGGGGTTCCCAGCTCAGCTTCCAGCTCCTCCAATCAGAGACCAGGCAGCTCGACGTGAGGCTGGGGCTCCAGGAAGGTCAAGACCCCTAGCAGCTTGGAGTAGTACTAGCATTGGTAGCTGTGTGGCAGTATTTCTGCCTACCACATGGGAGATCCAAGGTCAAGTCCCAGCTTTGGTGACTTGGGGTGAGTGAACTAACAAGGAGAAATTTCTCTTGCAGTGGAAAGGGGCCATTGTGTTTTTCCCCTTTCTCCCCTTCAAAGGTACCTAGGCCCTATATTTCTTTGTCCTTTGACATTTTGTATTTTGTGCCTTTTTATATTTCCCCAACCAGTATTGTTTGCTGTGCTGTTTGTGTTTTATATTTTGTTAACCCTGTCTTTTGTCAATGATTGTAAGTGTCTAACCTTTGTTGAATCCTGCCCCTTGGGGCATTGTAGTGTTCACTATACCCCCTGATTATGCCTGTTATGTTCCCAGTATTGTTCCCTCATTAAAAGGTATATGCTTAAGTCCCCAGTGGTGGTTTGGCTCTGCTCTATAGCAGGAGGAGAGTCCCTACACCTCCCACAGTGCTTGTGCACCTCCTTTGATCCCTTCAATTGGAGAGGGGGTTCCTTTTGGAGTACCGCCCAGGTTACACTTGTTTGAGAGATGTTAAGCAATGATATGAATGACTGGTGCATCCTGAGACCAGGGGGGCACCATGGCGGTGAGCAGTGAGTGGGGATGCCTGCAGCCACCAGCGTTGGTGTTGGTGACAGCGAGCGGTGAGTGGGGACTGCCCACAGAAGCCAGCAGCAGCTTCAGCGGAAGCCACTGTCAGTGCGGAGCACATGCCCCCTGTGGCTGTGCTACCTATGGGTAGGGCAGTACATGTCAGTGGATGAAGCTTTTTGGCCAAGGTATATCTGTGGTCTTTTTGTAATGTAACAATTTTATCTTTAGTACTCAGCAAGCTACAATATATTTATTCTAGGTCTTAATATTAAAAAATAACCATGCTATTGTACTTAACCCTGCAACTGTGCGCAAGTATTCTTGGAGTTTGGTACTAAATGGTAACTAAATATCTATCTGTCCTTTGTCTGTTTTCCTGTATGCTTAATTGCTGTGTTGGTTTTTCTACAGCTACAGTCTCCCCTATCTTATGAAACTATCATCTATGGGTATTTTTTTTGCCCGGTGTTTTAGCTTCTAATTTCCAGTAGAAAATCCTAGGAGGATTACTCAAAGGTTCTTTTGATAGTAAATATCCAATAATTCATAATACAATATTGCAAATTAGCAATTATCTGCTACTGTTCATTAATAGTAGACTCACACATAAAATACTCTTTTTTTTCTATTTATATCCCATGCTATTTGCATGCATTTTGAGCCTCCATAATGTTAAGATACCACTAAATAATTATCCTTAAGAAATGCATTCCTTGTGTATTACAAATCATGGGTATGGGTCACTTTTTTCCTAAACCAAAGCTTAGTCCTCTAGGGAAATTATTCTACTCAGACTGTTTCTTTATCTAACACAGATACTTTTCCTTTGTGAGGGAAATTAAAAGCAATAATGAATATTAGTTAAGATTTTTTTTGTTTTCTATTTGTCTGAAAGCCATCGGGCAATTTTTTATATGCAGCATGGATTTTTTTTTGGGTGGGGGTTGGATTTTTTTTTTTGTTTGTATTTTTTTTAAGAATAAGGAGGAGCAAAATAGCTATCTTGAAGGTACTTGCATTATTGGAGAATGGGCAGAATGCCAAGTGTGATTTCTTAAAGCCTTGTTGCTAAACAACTGGCCCATCACAGATTTTTCAATGGCCCTCTAGACTTTAAGCATAACTCAGCAATGTGGCTTGAAATTAAAGCCAAGATTTATTTGTAATATACAAGATAGGTGCTTTTGTATCAAACTATCAAGCTAATCTGACAGTTAAAGGATTTTACCTTGGCACTATTCCAGGGTGCAGAAGCTTCTGAACAAATAACCTTCAGAATCTTGTGTCAGAGGTTGAAATACAAACCAAAGTGCCAAAAATATTGTGGCTCTGGAAAATGATGTGCTTAAGTAATTGTAAGAGTTTTTTGAAATTCAGTTATGGTTTTGGGGAACCTGATATGCAAAATTCTGCTTCTTTGCAGAGGCATCAGAGTTTATATGCAGGAAGTGTACTACAGGGCATGTATAGACATTACACTTAGAGCAATCAAAGTGAATATAGATCAATTTAAACTGTATCTGTAGGCACAGATCGTCTAGTCTAAAAATGGTGTACAGAAGTTTAGTGCAGATAGGGTTTTTGCACCATTTTTAGACTGGTCTAAGATAGATCTGATGTGAGGTACACTCAGTTGAGACAAATTTAGGTGAGACTGATGTACCAAACTTCTTTACTGCTCCCCCATCAATCAGGTTAGATCTCTGTCCACTGTCATGGTAGTCTGTTTGTGTCCTCCACTGCCCCTTCCCTTGAAGGCTGGTGTGCTAGCTCTTGGCCTGTGCCTGGTTGCTCTGGCCAAGGGGCCATGCAACAGAAACCAGTGACCACCTCCTGAAGGTTAATGAGGTGAATGAAGGATGTTCTGGATGACCAGGCACACCTCCTGGATTGCCTTTCTGGCTGTGGACTTGCCTATGCTAAACTGGTTGGTGATGTAGCAGAGACTGCTGGGAGTGGCCAGTTTCATGATGGTGATAGCCACCTGCTTCTCCAGAGTGAGTGGTGGTCACATGTTGATGTTCTGTCATGTGATGTTGGGGACCACCTGGGAGACAATGTTCATGAAAGTGGACCATGTATGTGGACATTCTGAATCCACTGTTTGTCATCCCAGGTGTCTAGGACAATCTGATTCCACCAGTTGCTGCTGGTGATGCAAGCCCAGAAATGGTGCTCAAAAGTGTGGAAATGGTACCAGAGCACCCTGGTGTCCTGGGTGGCCTCATTCTCATTTGCCACTTGGAAGACATTGGCGCAGTCTAGGACACTTGGAAGACACAGGCCATAGTAGGTGGCCCCACACAGGAAGGGCGGCTGCTGGCTTGGAGGCAGAAAGGCTTGTTCTGTAGCAACCAGCAGCTTCATCATGTCTAGATGGCCATACATGATGTCCTACAGTCTCCTTCAAGAGTTGCATGGGGTGACAAGCAAGACATGCTGAAGCTCCTGAGTCTGTGAGCTTGGGCATGGGTGTTGGGGCACCATGGTAGGGTGTGGGCAGGCATAGACATGGAGACATGGGCAGTTCACAGGGGAGGGCACTTGCTTTGTGGCTCTTTGGGAAGTGTCTGGGTAGGGCTTGGGGGAGAGGCCATGGATAGGATTGGGGACATGGTTGCCCACACCTAGCAACCACAGGAGTGGCCTGGGTGTATGGTTGCAACAGCCTAGGGAACCCTCAGGACAGACTGGAAAGTGTTCAGGAGCAACCCTTCCTGTAGGCTTTGACCAGTGCAGGCAGCCTGCATGCATTTACCCTCCACTCCATCCCCCCACAAGGCTAAACATGTATACTATTTGCTACAGATCTTAATTAAGTCATGTAGAGAAAACAATGCAACTTAGATTTGATTCCTCCCCTGAATTTTTGAATGTCTATATGTGGCCAGAGGCCAAAGAAATAGGTAGGCTCTAGCACTAGGCCACGGGAGTTTTAAAAGCAAGTGGGGTATTTGTCACTTCTCAGTGAAAAATGCCTTATTGAAAAGTTCCTGATCATTTCTTTATAAAATCTCACCATTTCCTGACCCATGACGTCAGCCTAGAAAGCTAGAGTAACTGGGGCAATAATCTTAAACAAGGTGTTGACACTGAAAAATCAGCCCAGCATGTTCAATTGATGACTCATGACCTTCCAAAGACCTATGTTTTCATAACAGCTCAGTAAAAGATAAGCTATCAAATTGCAAATTCATTGTATTTTTTGCCTTGAAATCACACAGTA